TTGGCGAAACTACTAGGCGGCACAACCAACCCCTTGTAGGTTTCCTCATCCTCGTTGCTTGCGGCCAAAAAATGAATTGAACCATCCACACTCACCTTGGTGCATTCCAACAACTAGGAGTCGTAGCCAACTCATTCGTCAGCACCTGTCCTCCTGGTGCGCCTCCTGCTCATCATCTTCTGACGGATGGAGGGGCTTGTACCACGTTCTCATGTCGGGCTTTGCCTCGCGGTAGTAGAAATATCGATTCACCTCAGCGGCCCGCAGACATACCGTGCCGCTCATGGCTGTTGTGAGTGGATTCATCTGCTCTGTCATTGTTTCAGTATGTCAGTTGTTTCTTAGATGTTCTTCCTTGATATGTTCATGTTTGGTTTATGTGATCAATTGTTTGTGTGTTCTCTTTTGGCTTGTTGATGTAGCTGTTTGTTTTTGTCCGTGTGCAAAATTGAATTTATGTAGTGATACATTTTGTCTGTCAGTGGTGTGTTGTTGCTCTTTGTTTGCTTGTTGGTTTGTTTGTTTGTTCGTTGGTTTGTTTGTTTGCTTGCTTGCGTGCTTGTTTGCTTATTTCATAGCTACTTGTCTTTGTCATGCACCTATTTACCAATGAATTCTGTGCATATGTGTCTCTGTTGGCTAATAAACTAATGCATTCATGCATTTCTGCATTCATGCATCCATGCATCCATGCATTCATGCATTCATGCATTCATGCATTCATGCATTCATTCATTCATTCATTCATTCATTTATTTGTTTGTCCGCTCGTTCATTCATTCATTCATTCATTTCATTCCTTCCTTCCTTCCTTCCTTCATTTATTCCTTCATTCATTCATTTCATGTCTCGAGTTATTCAATCATGCATGCATGCATGCATTCTCGCTCACTCATTCATTCACTCATTCATGCATTCATGCATGCATGCATGCATGCATGCATGCATGCATTCAATCCATTCATTCCATTCATTCTATTCATTCCATTCATTCTATTCATTCCATTCATTCCATTCATTCAATTCATTCAATTCGATCCATCCATCCATTCATTCATTCATTCGTTCGTTCATTCAGACATATCATTCATTTATAGTTCCATTCAAACCTGCATGCATGCATTCGTGAGTGTTGACTCATTCATTAATTCATTCATTCATTCATTCAGTCATTCATTCATTCATTCATTCATTCATTCATTCATTCATTCATTCATTCATTCATTCCGTCATTAATTCAATCATTCATTCATTCATTCAAACATTCATTCCTTCATTCATTCATTCCTTCATTCCTTCATTCCTTCATTCCTTCATTCCTTCATTCATTCATTCATTCATTCAGTTCATTCATTCATTCATTCATTCATTCCATGCATTCCACTCATTCCACTCATTCCATTCATTCCATTCATTCATTCATTCATTCATTCATTCATTCATTCATTCATTCATTCATTTCATTCATTCCATGCATTCCACTCATTCCATTCATTCCATTCATTCATTCATTCATTCATTCATTCATTCATTCATTCATTCATTCATTCATTCATTCATTCATTCATTCATTTCATTCATTCCTTCATTCCTTCATTCCTTCATTCCTTCATTCATTCATTCATTCATTCATTCATTCATTCATTCATTCATCCATTCATCCATTCATCCATTCATTCCTTCATTCATTCACTCATTCATTCATTAATTCATTCATTAATTCATTCATTCATTCATCCATTCATTCCTTCATTCATTCATTCATTTCATTCCTTCCTTCCTTCATTCATTCATTTCATTCATGCATCCATTCCATTCCACACCATTCGATTCCATTCCACACCATTCCATTCCATTCCGTTCCATTCCATTCAATCTATTCAAGTCGTTCAGTTCATTCAAATCACTCTCTCTGGTCAGAAACCTTGAACTTTACCTTCTCGGCCTGGTCAAAGAGCTCACCCAGCGCGCTTCAGCTGAAGCATCAAGCCCTCCGCCAACACGTCCTTCCGCAAAACCAGAGGCCGATGAACTCCGCCTTTTCATCACGGCTTATCTGCACCTCCGCAATGCCCGGAGGGTCTCGACGTGCTTGTAGAGTTGCTTTCTTCTGTTGGATGATGAGGAGAAGCCTGCGCTTGATGAGGCATTGGGTGCGCAGGCAGAGGTGGGGCGCATCAAGCCAGAAGCACGGCGAGGATGGCCCTCATTGATGTGCAGGAGAGGCTTCGCACAGCCATCGTGAGGAAGCCCCACGGCACGAGCACAGGCCCTGTCTTGCCAGGGTGCCAGGTGTACTGGTGACCGGCTTCGAAGGCTCAGAGAAGGCAGCAACAGCCTATTGGGCGACGTTCCACAGGCCCCGACGCTTTGGGCGGAAGCCTAACAACGGTGACATTCTGAAGCCTGAGGCACCATCCGAGGCCTGAGACGGAGGAACCAGAACAACTCTGACAGGCCGGCCGTGACAGGCAAAACAAGAGAGAGCAGCCAAGAAGATACGACAGAACCAGGACAGCAACCTTTGAACTACCCTGGGTCTCAGAGTGAACTGGATGCAGGAGCCATCGCTTTGGGTCAGCGCTGCCTTGCTCTCAGCTTGGTTCGACTGAGTTTCTTTGCCATCACATCAGCCAGCAGCATTCTTGAGGTCCCGCAAGCAGTCGGATTGACATTCATGTCTTGTTTTCTTTACTTGTTTTTTCGTATGTTCGTTATCTTATTTGTTCATCTTGTTGCCTGTATTTGGTTGCTCTATGTATTTCTGCAATTGTTTTTGCTCCCCTCTTCATTTCCTTATGTCTTAATGTTTAAATTTCCTAGTTTGTCGCATTCTTCATTGTCTATTTCTTGCGCTTGGTTCTTTCGTGTCTGTCTGTCCTTTCCTTGCCTCCTTTCCTTGTTTGTTTCCTTCTTTCTGTCTTCCGCCTCCGCCCCTGAAATGGGGTTGCTAGATCGTTCGGAAATGCAAGCCCCGCAGCAGCCCCAGGTCTGAGATACTGTCAGTCTGACACGGCCAGATCAGGTCAGACGCGCGCAGGTTGACGACAGATCCGGGCAGACACACGCGCAGGTCTGGGCCGGAGTCTGCGCCACGCCCTGTCTGAGCAAATCAGCAGATATGCACAAATGGATCTGAGCATCTGTGCGAACACGTCCACCCCAGCCCGCCGCTCGCTCAGCAGGCAGCTCACCCCATCTGCACTGGCCCAAGGGACAGACTCTTGCGTCCGCCAATGCAACATTCAAAAGGGTGGGGTTCTGCAAACCCAATGCAACCACAAACTGACTGGAAAAGGCTTCACCACTGGCCCTCGCACGAGCTCTCTCAAGTTTGTCAAGCACGTGCAATGCCCGTGCGGCTTGACAGAGAACAAGTGCGTGGATGTTGCACAGTGTGTATTCTTTGCCATTTCTTTTGACATCTCTTCTGTTTCCAACTATTTCCTTGTGATTTCTTTGCTTCAATCTCCTTCGTTCCTTTCTTCTCCGTTCTGTTCTGCCCGGTGCCCCCGTGTTGAGTTGGCCGGAGTGTGTTGCCGGCTTTGCTTTACTCTCCTACCATCAAACTTGCGAATCGCACTGCGATTCGACCAGCGCCAATCCAGGTCCATGCCAATTCCCTGCCTGAGGAGTGATGTCCAGCTCTGCTTTCCAGCCAGGCGGTAAATCCGTGGGCGGCGGAGGACTCTTTGCCCGCAAGCCCTCCTGACACGAGAGCCAAGCGCCACGGACTGCCACAGCAAACGCATGGCTCAACATCCACGGGTTCCAAAATATGTTCCTACTGCTGGCAAATCTGGTTGGAGAACTTGCTGCAAATCCGCCGTTGCCAGAGCGTGTAAGTAGTAAGTAAGGCCTGCAGATTCTGGAATGCAAGCCTATGATTTCTCGTGGTTGACTGCCTCGATGTTCCGTCTGGGTATCCGAGCAGCTTTGCTGCTCCTCCTTTTGCATCGACGGGAAGGTCCTGATGCCTGGCTTCTGCCTTCACAGTGGTGTTGGCTTGAATGTTCGGCCCATGGAGGGCTTTCGGGATGGAAACTCTGATTGGCAAACAGAAATATGCGTGCGTGGATTACCCAGAGCGAAAGCCGAAAGGGCCTCCAGCACCACTAAACCCCAAGGCAATGAAGTGTACATGAGCAAATCGCAAGTCTTCACAAGGGGCGCCACCAAAAGAAATCTGCAGGCAGCCCGTTCTACAAACACGACCCAAGAACCCGTCCTTCGGCGGCACAGTCGGCAGGTCAAGCTCGCAACCAGGTGGCCTGCTCCACTGGGACTTCCCAGATGCCTGCGCATTGCGAAGTGCTTGGGACAATTCGGAGAACCCTTTGAAACGAAGTTGTCGCTTTGCGCCTTACAATAAATTAGTATAGGAAGTTGGGACTCAAAAGCATCACCCTTCAACTGCAGCCTCCTTCACTCCTTCACACACCAGGGCCTGAGTGCTTGAGATGGCTGAGGTTGAGGGCTTGGGAAGTGGTCTGGAGACCGCAGCTTGCAGCTTTCCCAAGGAACCCACAAGAAAACGCTCCTTGAGCTAGACTCACCACTGACTCACTGGCCTGCTGCGGTTTGGGACACCTGCACTTGGCCCTCCGACTTGCAAGGCGAAATCCAAACGCAAATGATTCCGGCAAAGGCCCACATGACTCCGAGCCGTTGCCATGCACATGGTCCCAAGCCCATCGGGTGAAGACGGTCCTTGTCCATGTAGTAATACCGTTGTTGCTCTCTGCTCCATCCTGCTTCCCAGTAGCCCGACATTGCAGGCGCTCGCGGGCAGCCCACGAGCAACCCACATGAGAGCCGATAGGACTAAGGCACACGTTCGGCAGGATGCGTGTGCGCTCGGGCCACAAGCGTAGAAAAATAAGGGGACGCCCTGAAAGTGTAAAAGCCCTTTCCAGCATAGATCCCAACTTAGTTCCCAGGGCGTTCCCCCGTCCTGTGCTTCCTTACAAACCCTGCTAAACCTCCCTAGGGCCCCCTGCACGGTTGGACACCGACCTGACGGACCCGCTCGGCCGTGCACCGAACGTACCATTTCTCCACTGAAGCCGGCGAAATCGAAAGCCCCGGCCTTCCCCACGCCAGGGGAAATACAATCGGTTGCGGAGGGCGACCTGTCGTGCCAATTTCAAACTGATAGCCCTGCATGTCCCTGACGGGAGATCCAAGAGCTCTGCATTTTGGACTAGTTCCAAGGGCCCGGGGGTCAAGAACAACAAAACTCAAGAGGCATTCGCAACAGCGGCCATGGGTCCTGGGCGCGCCGGCGCTCTCTGCCCCGTGGAAGACGCTGAGCTCACGCGCAATGGTCGCCGGTAGGCCTCTATTTCCGAGAAAGAGAGGCTTGCATCGGGCTTTTCTGCGCTTGACACGCGAAGCGCACAACGCCACAAAACACTGGAAACATAACACTGGAGCGCCTACTTGCCCTTTCAATCCTTTCAATGGTGCTGAGAAGGATATACGCCCACAAAGCAAAGTAATCCTGCGAGCCGGTGCAAATGCTCACGGTGGTCGATCCAAAATCGAGAGCTCCACCTCCACCACATGAATGGAAAGCACAGTGACCGGCACGTTGATTTTTAAGACCATTGTTTATGAACGCATGACACAACTCAACACACACACACACACCATAACACAACACAACACAACACAACACAACACAACACAACACAACACAACACAACACAACATATAACACAACATATAACACAACATATAACACAACACAACACAACATATAACACAACACAACACAACACAGCACATACGCAAGCACCACGCACATCACATCCATGTACATGTGCACACGCCCGCCCAAATGCAAATAACCACGGCAGTGTGACACGTGGCGTCTGACAAGTCACACGTCACTTATGTAACACCATGCTTGACATCACACGCGCACAAGCGCTCACCCGTCCGCACAAACACCAAAACAACAACACCCAGCCTCTGAGACCAGGGTCCCATGTGCCCAAGAGTGGGGGGTTCGGCCCCTCAGAAAAGCCCGGCTGCAAACCGCCATTCCTCCGGCCTACGCTGGTCACTGCCATGATCAGGTTTGCCTTGCCGCCCGAACCTCACTTGCCCAAAGGGTTGGTTGGAAAGTGGAAGGTCAAAGGGTCCGCCGCTCCGCCTGCTTATGGCCAAAAATAAGCGCAAAAGGCCGCCGTCGCCGGAAGGGCCAGGGCTCCAAAAGCTCAACTGATCCTCTGAGGGGTGCTTTGTTTCCTTGGGGCGGCCCTTCGAAACCATTCAACGATTGAGATACTGCCTTTAACAGTTTGACGGCGACCGGACCGGCCCAACCGCCACACCTCTGCGTCACCCAGCCAGGCGGTCAATCTCTCTAGGCCCTGGGCCTGCCAGTGACCCATTCAAATCAAAATCCATAGCCCCCCCCCGTCTCGTGGCTGTTTTGCTCCGAAGCAGGATTGGTTACACGTGCTTTCTCGCAACTGCATGGGAGCCGTCACCGCTGTTGCCAATTCTTTCAAAGGCGTCATCAAGTGGAGCCATTGCGCCTTCAAAACCCCTCCAGTGCACGCCAAAATGCGCCTCAAGCCAAGGGGATCGGCCTGCCCTGCACCTCATGCCAAAGCTGCGAGGCAACTGCACACAGCCCACCCAAATGACGGAGGTGCAGAAGCGGGCTAGCCCCCGGGTTGGAAGTAAACAACTGCACACGGTGGGTCACATTCCAGTGCGGGCCCGAAGCTCATACCAAGGGATTGTTGTAGGGATTGTTTGTGTATCCAAAAATGGGCCTGTATCACATGGAACGCGTGGAACAGCTGCACGCAGCCCAGCCTGACCCTGCTGGCGGCCCATGTGCCACATGCTGCACGTTGTGTGAAGCATGGCCTTGGTGACTTTCCATGCGTTTTCGCCAATCTCCCAGATCATTGGATGCATCACTTTTGGTCAAAACGCTTGCACGCGCAACGGTCCGAATGAAAATGGTTGGCTGCATCCAAGAATATGCCAAAACCATGGAGTGCACTTGGGGGTTCGGATCCGCACTGGGAAGCCGCTCCAAACTCAAAAAGATCCGCCTACACCCCGAAAGCCAATCAGAAGCACTGGTCTACCAGCTCTTTGGCCCCCAGCTTTGCTTGGCAAGCTCGGAGACAAAGGGCCTCGTCAGCTCTGACGCGCTAACGAAGACGAGGAATCCAAACAGGAAATAACATCACACCAGCATAGACCCCAAACAGCTCACGCAAATTTTCATTGGCCAAAGAACCACTGGTGGCGGAAAGCAGCAGCAGCAGCTGCCAAGCTGGACGACAACTGAGCTCGGCCGCGTGCAGCGCATCCGCTGAACGTGCTTTAGGGCAAGATAGTGAGGAAAAAATGACGCCATTCAGCCAAAGAAACTGCAGAGTCCATTGGATTCATCTGAGGCCGAGTCGGTAATCGAGACAGAGAAGGGAGCTCTGCCAGGATGGCACGCCTGGCCCATCTGTCAAGCTT